TATGGAATCATGTTTGATAGGAAGTCTTTTAGTTCCCATTGATCGATAAAACTTTATTTTGAAGTTTTTGAGCTTATGCCTTATGTGGTAACATGCCTTATGTAGTGGATAAAATGTCTCATGTGTTGGTTAAATGACTTATGTAGTAACATGCCTTAAGTAGTGGATAAAATGTCTCATGTGTTGGTTAAATGACTTATGTGGTAACATGCCTTATGTAGTGGATAAAATGTCTCATGTGTTGGTTAAATGACTTATGTGGTAACATGCCTTATGTAGTGGATAAAATGTCTTAAGTGTTGGTTAAATGACTTATGTGGTAACATGCCTTAAGTAGTGGATAAAATGTCTTAAGTGTTGGTTAAATGACTTATGTGGTAACATGCCTTATGTAGTGGATAAAATGTCTTAAGTGTTGGTTAAATGACTTATGTGGTAACAATTGACTTATGTAGTAACATGCCTTAAGTAGTGGATAAAATGTCTCATGTGTTGGTTAAATGACTTATGTGGTAACATGCCTTATGTAGTGGATAAAATGTCTCATGTGTTGGTTAAATGACTTATGTAGTAACATGCCTTAAGTAGTGGATAAAATTTCTCATGTGTTGGTTAAATGACTTATGTGGTAACATGCCTTATGTAGTGGATAAAATGTCTCATGTGTTGGTTAAATGACTTATGTGGTAACATGCCTTATGTAGTGGATAAAATGTCTTAAGTGTTGGTTAAATGACTTATGTGGTAACATGCCTTATGTAGTGGATAAAATGTCTTAAGTGTTGGTTAAATGACTTATGTGGTAACATGCCTTATGTAGTGGATAAAATGTCTCATGTGTTGGTTAAATGACTTATGTAGTAACATGCCTTAAGTAGTGGATAAAATGTCTTAAGTGTTGGTTAAATGACTTATGTGGTAACATGCCTTATGTAGTGTTAAAATGTCTTAAGTGTTGGTTAAATGACTTATGTGGTAACATGCCAACATGCCTTATGTAGTGTTAAAATGTCTTATGTGTTGGTTAAATGACTTATGTTGTAACATGCCTTATATAGTGGATAAAATGTCTTATGTGTTGGTTAAGTGACTTATGTGGTAAAATGTCTTATGTATTGGTTAAATGACTTGTGTGGTAACATGCCTTATGTAGTGTTAAAATGTCTTATGTGTTGGTTAAGTGACTTATGTGGTAAAATGTCTTATGTATTGGTTAAGTGACTTATGTGGTAACATGCCATATGTAGTGGATAAATGCCTTATATAGTGGTTAAATACCTTTTGTAGTGGTTCAGTGCCTTATGTATTGGTTAAGTGACTTATGTGGTAACATGCCTTATGTAGTGGATAAAATGTCTTATGTGCTGGTTAAATGACTTATGTGGTAACATACCTTAGGTAGTTTTAAATTGTCTTATGTAGTGCTTCAATGCCTTATGTATTGGTTAAGTGACTTATGTGGCGTTAAATGCCTTAGGTAGTGTTAAATTGTCTTAAATAGTGGTTAAATAGCTTAGGTAATGGTTAAATGTCTGATGTAGTGGTTGAATTCCTTATGTAGTTTTTAAATGCTTTATGTAGTGTTAAATTGCCTTATGTAGTGATAAAATGCCTTATGTAGTGATTAGATACCTTATGTAGTGGTTAAATGCCTTCTGTAGTAGTTAAATGCCTTTTGTTGTGGTTAAATACTTTATGTAATTGTTACATGCCTTATGTAGTGGTTAAATGCCTTATGTAATGTTAAAATTGCTTATGCAGTGGTTAAATGCCTTATGTAGTTGTAAAATGCTTCATGTACCATAGTTTAAAATGCTATATGTTTATATATTGGTAAAATGCCTTACGTAGTGATAAAATGCCTTAAACTGTGGTAAAATGCCACTTATTCCAATTTGATTAATGTGTAGAAAGCATTTTCTCTCCACAGCTAGTCCTGTAATATATAATTTGCCCTTGTTATCTCATACTTGATGATAATGCATTTTGTCTGTGTTATCTCATACCTGATAATGCTTTTTGCCCTTGTTATCTCATATCTAATGATAATGCATTTTGCCCTTGTTATCTCATATCTAATGATAATGCATTTTGCCCTTGTTATCTCATATCTAATGATAATGCATTTTGCCCTTGCTATCTCATATCTAATGATAATGCATTTTGCCCTTGTTATCTCATATCTAATGATAATGCTTTTTGCCCTTGTTATCTCATATCTAATGATAATACATTTCGCCCTTGTTATCTCATATCTAATGATAATGCATTTTGCCCTTGCTATCTCATATCTAATGATAATGCTTTTTGCCCTTATTATCTCATATCTAATGATAATGCTTTTTGCCCTTGTTATCTCATATCTAATGATAATACATTTGCCCTTGTTATCTCATATCTAATGATAATGCATTTTGCCCTTGCTATCTCATATCTAATGATAATGCATTTTGCCCTTGCTATCTCATACTTGATGGTAATGCATTCTACTCCAGTTATCTTGTACCTAATCATCAGCATTTCACCCTAGTTATCTCATACTTGATCATCATTTCACCAGTTATCTCATAATTGATCATCATATTACCATAGTTATTTGATACTTCATTATCATCACCATCATCATCATCATCACAACTGACATTGCCTTTATTTAAAATCGATAATGCAGTATATACTTCAGAAAAAAGTAATACTGCTGAATGTTTTCAAGGATCATATAAACATTTGTGTCACCTACTTTAACACAGTAAGATAATACTGTAGTGGTCACTTTTCTACCAGTATCATCAACAATACCTTTGTATTAAACATTTTGCCATTTCCAAAGCTGGCTGCATCATTATAAATGAACAATGTTCAAGGTTTATATTGAAGTCTTTGAAAGTTGCAAATATTCTGCATCAGCAGCTGCATTCAATTAAAACTTAATGATAATATTACAAATGGTCTCATGTTATACACTAATAATATTACTATGGGTCTAATGTTATACACTAATAATATTTCTATGGGTCTAAGATTACATACTGATAATATTACTATGGGTCTAATGTTATACACTAATAATATTACTATGGGTCTAATGTTATACACTAATAATATTACTATGGGTCTAAGATTATATACTGATAATATTCCTATGGGTCTAATGTTATACACTAATAATATTACTATGTGTCTAATGTTATACACTAATAATATTACTATGGGTCTAAGATTATATACTGATAATATTACTATGGGTCTAATGTTATACACTAATAATATTACTATGGGTCTAATGTTATATACTAATAATATTACTATGGATCTAATGTTATACACTAATAATATTACTATGGGTCTAATTTTATAAACTAATAATATTACTATGGATCTAATTTTATAAACTAATAATATTATTATGGGTCTAAGATTATATACTGATAATATTACTACGGGTCTAATGTTATACACTAATAATATTACTATGGGTCAAAATCTATACATTATTATAATAATTTACTTTAGGTCTAAAGTTATACACTGATATATACTCACCTACCTCAGCAAAAAGCCTGATCCATCATAGAGAATAATTTTCACATTTTTCTGCTTCTGTTGCAGCATTTAAGTTTTTGTATAATATTTGAGTATGCCCACATTTTGTATGCTGATATTAAAATTTTGTGTGAAAATGTTTGAACGTCACATACTGGTGTCTTAATTATCAGTATCAGTATTTGTTGTGTCCAGGTATATTATAATTATTGGTTCAAATTAGAATTTAAGTATAATTGAAAGCACTAAAAGAACTAAAAGCCTGCTGAAGAACATGATTTGCCTTGCTTAGGAAGAAAAGGACTAATATGGTGCTAAAGACTGTAGCACCGTGATGGTACATAAAATAGTTGGGCACTTGATGGTACAAAAGACAGTAGGGCACTTTAAGGTATATAAGACAGTAAAACGCTTGATGGTACATAATACAATATGGCACTTCATGGTTCATAAAATAATATTTTCTGTATGAGTATGGGTTTAATATTAGGATCATTATCATTAGAATTAAATATATTTATCTTGGCATGAGTCATTAACATTGTGCTTATCATGTTCTTTAGTTTAATTTTAGTAACAGAAAGGAATTGTCCATTTAGTATTATTTTGAGGTTTTTTTTAATAGAAAATGCTAAATGTCATCTAGGTCAAATAGAGGGCTTTACAATTTTGGCAAACCCCTCCTCAACTTATTTGTGGTAGGTTTAGTGGTTTTGGATTTCATATCTAGAGGTGATCACCTACAAGGTAATTTGCCCAGTTTCGAGTAAGGTCAATAAAAAGTATGAACTTAGGGATGGAATAAATAAATAATCTGAACTGGTAACAGAATAACACAAGCAACTGTTACAAATAAAGACAAAATTTATTCAAATGTCAAAATAATAAAATTTCACAAGCAAATGATATAAATGTTACAATTCGAAAGATTAATCAAACTAATTAAGGAATTTCAAAATGCAAATAAGATTATAAAAATAGCCAATTCTGTTTATGATAGAATCAATTCATCATTTAACCGTGTTAAAACATCGAATAACATTGATTGTATTGATTCATAACCGAGTATTCGGTTCTGTCCCAAAGGTCCACTCAGACTACTTCCAGCTCCTTCATGCCAGTAAGTCTTTTTGCTCTATTACCCTCTTTTACAAAATTCTTGGTATCTTGCCTTTTTCCCATTTTTTGGCTTTCCACTCTGTTTGGGTTGTAAAAAATGTCTCTTCCTGCAACTATCTCACCTTGTAAAAATATAAACAAAAGCAACCTAAATCTTTCATAACATTATACGGGAATAAATCATTAGTCTTCCCCCTCGAGGTCAGATGTATTTCTATCAGATTTAACCAGTCGTAGATGGCTATCTAGACTAATTGGTTATAACAGAGCAGACAACCTACTTCCACAGACTTAAATGGTCTGCTAATTACCCTTTTACACCACATCGAGACCACTCTGCTGGCCTAGTGGTTAGAGCATCCGCCTTGGATGCAGGTGGTCATTGGTTAGATCCCCAGTTAAGTCATACCAAAGAATTATAACAAATGGTACTAACATCTGCCTCACTTGGCATTCAGCATTAAGAGGTTAGTGTTATGACTGGTTGGCTTGGTGTCAGGATAATGTGACTGGGTGGGACATCATGCTACATGTCTGCAGCATAATTTATCAGGGCTAGACATCACTATAAACTGCCACACTGCAGAAATCATAGCGATATTTTTTTAAAGCTATGTTAAAAATCATAATCACATCACAAATTCACATCACCACACTGAGACATTAAGTTTTTACTAGTCTCATTACATGAGAATGAATGAAATTCCTTACCCTGCATTAATGTAACAATTACACACAATAAACTCATCTGAATAATTTCTATATCTTCCGTAATATCTACATTCCAACGATTCATCAATGTATATAAAGAAACAATATAATTGTATGAGTTCAGATAAATCAACTCAACACAGCTATGCTAGATTCATAATTCTCTATATAGAATAAGCATGAATCCTGGATACATAATTCCCTACAATAATGAGACTGTAACTTAGTGAGCCATCAATGTACATGTAAGAAAAATATTGTGCAGACTCAAATAAACAAACTCAGCACAAGTATACCATGTAAAGAAACGTAATTTATGACTCAACAAATAAATCCCTGCAAGTGCATGCAGATACAAGCAATTAAATCAACAAATCATCATAGTAGTATCAACTAATCACATGAGATTATGCAAATACCTTGTGTTTCAAACTTTGGTTGTCTATCAATTCTCCAGACAATCATTTTCCCCTTGGATGATTTTACGAGAAATTTACTTATTAAATTCTCTGAGTCCCCGTAAGTTCTTAAGTTCATTTTCTCTTGCACAAAAGTGTAGACTGCAGTACAAATTCTACTACTGCACATTTAAACTGATAGTTTTCCATGTGAAACCATGCCCATTCCACAGGGTAACCAATCAGAATGACATAAAATTCCTGCCTTACTAACATTGCACTAAGTCTGATAATAAATGGCTACCAACTGTTTTCTGGTCAATGTCCCAACTGTCAGTTTCCATACTAACCATAACTTGAACTCCTTCCAGTAAGTTTAAACACACTAAGCCCTTAATTATATATTGATAATTCCAGACTCTGGCTGGACCAATTTGTACATCATGGCTTTTTAAATGGGGCCATTCCCCATAAATCTAATTTAATGTTTCCTACAGAGATTAGCAACAACAGAACAGAGATGGACCTAAAAATTTAGTCCTTTACAATGATCTTGTTTGTTGGAAAATTAAGTGTGCTGTAAGATCTTGAAAAAAAATCATTTGTTGTGTTCATTCTTTGATTTGGACTGAAATTATTTAATTTAAATTATGCTTCTCAGGAAATACAAAGTGGTCTATAATATTCTTGGAAAGAGACATTAACTTGGAATTATAGTGACTTCAGATAAGGAAACCTTGGATTATATTACTGTGATTCAACTAAAGATATTTGTTTATATGAACCCTATTTTATTATATCAAGGTACACATATTTTGTCTTACTCATGGGGCCAATGAGCAAATATTGGAAAGGCATTGGAATGCATAAGATAGGGCCAATGTTATGAAAAATTGACAGACAATTTATAAACCTTTATCATACTGGATTGCTACTGTCAAATGTTAAAAATGAAACAAAGAGAAACAAACATGGATTAAACCATAGCAAGACAAATTAAGATACATCAAAATCTAGCTGTTATATAAATGTTCTTCATAATCTGATATGGTTGCAGTTTAAAAGAAAATTTAGTAATGATGGGGGAAATTGATTGTACTTGTATATATAGGTAGTAATCAGTTATCAATTTAGATTGTGTAAATTGTATTTAAGATTTATTGGCATGTTTTATGTCAATAAAATGAAGCATTGATATTTCATATTCGTTTTCTCTTTTTTAAAAAACAAATTGGTATCAAGCCCCTAGTTGACATTTTATCACATTTGTTAGCATAATAACTTCCTCCCCACAATGACTTTTTGTCACTTTCCCTAAGCCATTCCTGGTATTGTTTTATCTCTTCGTGGCATTGGATCAGAAAGATCCGCTCACATTACAAAGTGTGGAGAGCTATTGATTTATGCTTCCTTAAAAGTCAGTGACAGACAAAGAAAAAAACCTTTTCTGTTCATAGAATCATAGAATCATATATTTCTTTCCGAGTGTTATGTTGTCATTGCATTGGCTTCCAGGAGCAATTTGGTTCAAATACTTACGGCATACATGTATTTGGAAATACTTCCAATGAAATGTTTTCACAGTCAGGTTGCAAAAGTGAAGAACTGCCATGCCTTTGTATTAGTATGGCATTTTGAAACACTAATTTGTTCTTTTAAATAAAAACTTTCTACTTTAGTATAGACACAGTTTTGGTTATTGAAAAATGTGACACTAATTGGATGAAGTATAATGAAGATATAAGCAAAAGTTCTCTCAGGTGGCTAGATCTGATGGTTGAACTCTACACATTGAAGGGGAGAAGAATGGCTAGCAGTCAAATAGCAAAGAACTGCCTACTAGATGATGATGCATGCATCAACATTTACCCTCTATTCTGATATATTTTTGGTAACTTTTTGATAAACTGTGGCAAAGAGAATACACAGAAAGTGAGATTTCCTTTGGAAGTTAACCAGTATTATCAGTCTGAGATGATCAGTAATTTATTGATTTAAAATTGGCAGTAAAGTTTTATTTTTTTATATATGTAAAGAGAGTTTGTAAATATACATGTTTTAAACATATTTTGCACTTTGTGGTTAACAAAAATCCACCGTATGTTATATATGGAAATTCATAATTCATCTCTTACATTACATTTATAAAAATAATCAACTTAGTGGTAGTTGTCCAAATTAAAATTGCACCAATACACTTTCACCTCTTTTGTAAACAAAGTGATACTATTTTTACTTATATTGCGGATGAAAGACACAATTAGTTTCATTTACAAAGTAAATACCATGAGGGGATATGTCTGGCCCTTCAGCACACTCCAAAGCTCAGGTAGTGAACAAGAATAGGGATATATAAGAATTTTAGGGAGTTTTCAATCACACTCATGTTAGCATCAAGTATCAGTGCATAATTGGATTTTAACAATTCCTTATAGCTAATTTTAATTGTTTGGGATTCTCTTAGTTTTTGTAATACAGCACTAATGCCTACCCCCACCCATCAACAAATAAAACTATTAAGAAAATTGCCTAGATGGTATCTTGGTACATTGTTTGGAGTAAACATCATTGTCATCCTCAATGGACTTCAGCTATTGGTTTTGCTAGGAAATACACTGATTATAAATATAACGGTGAACTGAGACAATTTTTGAAACAAGTTTTCTAATAATGACATGGATTAGAGTGATAAAAAATCAGGCTTTACAAATTTGTAATAATGGGACAGATCACAGTGTTAAAAAGATTTCCTTCACAAATCAGAATGCTCCTTGAAAGCTTTCAGAAGTCCTTGAAATCTTGACAAATTCTGAGAATAATTCCCTTGGGATGTACAAGCCAAATTCTATGCAATATATTCTATCAAATAAGACTAAGGAGTCACAAATTGTCTTATAAACAGTACTCAGTGAGATTGGAGGAATTAATTCTAACAGAAACCATTGAAATACAGATGTTTAAAACCAGCATTTATTCCCACATGTGTTGTCAATAAATGGTATTTCAGTGTTTTGCCAATAAATATGGGAATATCACTTTTAGGATGAGCCCATTTCATTTTTTGTTTGTTTTAATTAAATAATAATATTGGAAGTCATGGTGGTTAAGTGGATAGTGTACCACACTTGCAACTGAAAGGTGTAGATTTGAATCCTACCGATGAATCTGCCTGGATCAATTATCATTCTTTGTCCTTGGGCAGGGCCTATTACGACAATTGTCTCCACACTAAATAACCTGTCTTGCAGCACCATCAACTATAAAATCCTATCGAAAAATATTTCATTTTGACATTGCTATGGTTTACCATATTTTCATATTTTATATTTCAATAGTGTTTCAGTGAGATTTTCTATGGTGTTTCAGTGAGATTTTCTGAGTCAATTTTCAGTGGTCTTACATTGGATTTTTGGTATAATTTTTCAGATAATTGAATATATATGGATGATCTAAGGAAACCATGGCATTCTTTTTGGTATGGTAGTGCCATCAAAACTTTCATATTTTGAAAGACAACAAGAATTGATACCCATTAAAGTACATGAATTCAGTAAGTAAACTTTCTCGAGAAAATGAGCAAGTGAAAAGTATAATGAAGTTTTAAGAACATATTTAAAAATTTGATATTTATTATCTTAAAATCATTATGCCAAAACAATGAAAGTAAATATTTTCTGAATGGAAACAAATTATAAACCCATATTTAGAATTTTTCAAAAATTGGCCTGTAAGCCTCTCATTTCCATTGTCTGGTTATCTTTCATGTATAAACAAATATGAGGGTTCCACATTGTGTGGTGCCTTGGCTTAAGTTTCTACTTGATCTTATTCCATTGAAGTAATGACTGTAATGATGTAATAATGCTATCAATTGAGTTATATTGCATTTGCTACAAGAAAAAAATTGTTCATGGCTACTAATATTTACCTCATATGTTGATTATTGTAAATGGAGTGTAATAAAGAATTTGTCTTGTTTGTCTTGTCTTGTTTGTCTTGTTTGTCTTGTCTTGTTTGTCTTGTCTTGTCTTGTCTTGTCTTGTCTTGTTTGTCTTGTTTGTCTTGTTTGTCTTGTTTGTCTTGTTTGTCTTGTCTTGTTATTGGCAGTAATATGAGCTTGCCAAACTTAACACTGAAGGCAATTTCTCCATCATCAAAACTGATGGACAATGTTACTATTCAATGCACTTTTCTCCACAAAAAGCCAGGATGGAAATTTTCATCAGTATGACATTTTTGTGTCCAATTTTGATGTTTGTACATATTATCCAATAATTAGTGTGATGAAGTACTTACTAGTTT